CGTAGAACCTCGTACGTACGTACATCAGTTTTAGTTGCCATACAACATTAGCACAGAGATACAATTGTCGATTCAAATCCCATAGTGGTAGAACTAGTAAGAGTATAGGCAGTAATCCAAAAGATTAGGATTTAAAGATGTTATTCAAGGAGTATAATCCAGTGAAATAAATTTGGAAGAAAAAGTATAGTAACATGAAGAATTCAGAAGATTAGAATTTGGTAGAACACAAAGAGTGGATGCACCTTCGCCATTGCAAACGATTTTGAGTCATGTCATTCAGGGTCTCTAACTATCGGTTGCTATCATCTCGCGAATTCCAAACAGTCAGTCTACACCTACCAACATGGATTAGAGATTGAAGGCAAGACATGATAAGGAGTATCAACTAGTATAATATTTAAGATTAAAGTTTTCCTCTGACCATCTGAATAGTTACCATGTAGAGGGTACAAAAAGTGATGAAAATATACACTCAACTAAAATATATGTAGGAGTAATGTATTACGAAACAGTAATTAACATATCTTAATTTCAAGTTTTGTTGATCAACCGGCTCATTTATTAGAGATTTTATTGCTTCAGAAATCTGACTAATATATTCACATTACTTGTATATTCCAAAGTGTAATGCCGCTCAACATAAGGCTGTATTGAAAAAATAAAAAATAAAAACATTAGCGCTAGTCAGACAGACCCCCAGTCTGTCTGAAATCACTGTTTCATTGAAATGGGTCGGTCGAGGGGGGGTCAACTTTGTTACTAATGTTAATCTATTCTATTATTTCTATCATTCTAAGCTTTATTTTAAACTTCTAAGTTAATCAATGTGCTTTGGTCAAGTTTCCTTTATTTTTACTATTTAAATACCAGTAACATTTGTTGACTTCGATAAGACTCTTCAGCAGTGCGCATCTACAATCCCGAATGCGGGGCTCGAGCCCAAGACCTTCGGTCTCGCTCACAAACTTCTAACCTTTTGACCATTGAGACGGCATCCAATGGTGTTAATGTCTAACTTCAATTAATCGATGATATTGAGCTTCCATTGTTTTCAGTGAGTAGATGACTCACACTCGATACGGTTGAGTTCCACTGAATACGGCTTCTCACTAGAATTCCAAAATTATCTCTCGACGCTAGTCACTGGTGAGCACATGACAATTATCAGTATAGGGTTGTAGAGATGAGCACTGCTCAAATGTCTTATACTAGAACGAAACAGCCGTCTAGTGCTTTCAGATTTTTAATGGTGGTCTTACGTTGATCAGCTAATGATATCAATAAAATTCTATTTTATTTTGATGAAATACTGGGACTGCTACCTGATAGAACTAAGGAAAAAACTGGTTATTTGCCCTGTTCAACTGAATAAGAAGTAATACAGGTCAACGTAACGAAGAAGATGGAACTGTAGACGAGGATTCATTAAACACATTAAATAAATCCACAGTAGATACAATCACTGATTACGAAAAACTAAATCAGCATTATTCTGAATTGTATGTGAATTATTTATCTGGACTTTAGGGAAATCTAAACATATTGAATGAGGCAGTAGTCGATCTAAATTAATCGATAACTAAATGAATATACAAAACTTGGGACAGGAATACATCAAGCTGCTGCAAATAATAATATCATGCTAGTGTTGAGTTTTGTAGAGATTGTATAACTTTAGTAGTGTATATCACAAACTGATCTTATTTAAGCTAATATAGAAAACCTGGAATCACTGGATAGCAGTTTTCACCTAGTGTTGGACTCCTCAACAGTGACCATTCATAATCCCGCATCTAGGGATCAGGCACGGCAAAGTTCAAACATGTTGGGTTTAAAACACTTATCCACCGTAGGCAATAAACGACAGTCACATAACATTGCGAACTGATTGAAAATAGATATCAACACCGTTGGATACCGGTTCAATGGTCCAAAAGTGATACGTTCACGCGCGAGATCGAAAGCATTGGATTCGATTCTCGGATGTCAGGTTGCAAGCACACAGTGTTGAGTAGTCCCGTACTAGGACGTAACAGGAGTTCAGTGCGTCAATGTTTTCAAAAATGGTCTAATTAAGATCAGTTTGTAATATAAAGTGTATAAGAATGTAATATTGTACGGAGTTGCATATTTGCCCCTTTCTGATAATTTTATTTGAAAGAATTGCGTCAATTCTGTATTTTATTTCACTAAAATAAATGTGAGCTTGCTTTGTTTACAGTAAATAACAACAACAAGAGAATATGAGATGAATTATTGTGTTTACAATGTTTTTGAATAAGCAATTAAAAATGACAAATAAAATAATTATGGTTTTTATTATTTGATAATATATTCATTCATTTAAGAAGTACTTTGAACCTGATCATCATGCATAAGACGTAGATACGTTTAGTACATTCTGTTAGACTAAATTGCTACTTTTAATTCTGTTCCAGGATTCTTTCCTGTCGATCAAACTTTATTTGATTAACACTATGATCTAACTCCACCTGTAGCTCCTCCGGGGGCTACTGCCAGTCTGAAGCCCGGATAAAGGAGGAGGGTTTAGCATGGGGTTAGCGACCCCATCACATAGAAAATCAATTCGCTAAAAAAACGCTAACCAGAAAAAAATATTCAAACCATTTCAATAAACATTATGATCTGAATAGGTATTTGGTTGTGTTCCGACTGTTACTGTGTACAGAGGAAAACAACTCTATGCTTTTCGTTCATTGAAGTTATTTCTCTATTATTCCTCGATGGATTGCTTTAAGTATGAAACAGAATTGAGTAACTTTGATAGACTAGCATAGCATTTGTATTGTTAATGATTCTGTAGGAAAAAAACGATATTAGATCTGATTCACCTTTGTATGTATTTTTCTTTCAATCTTTCCTGATCTCCCCATGCTTTTTCATTATCGAAGAAAATTTAATGTTGAACTTATATGCACTTAGGAATGTACAACATCCACTTCTGAAATTTATAAATTCCTCCATCTAACCAACTTTTCGTTATTTGTTCACATTGACTCTTCGAAAAACTATGATATATTGTGTAGATCTAGTCTGTCAGTCAGTTACAACAAAGAACCTGGTACGTATGTACATCGGTTTAAGTTGTCATATCCCATTATCATTGAGAGATGAAATTGTCAGATAACATCCCAGAATAGTAGAGATAGTAACAGTATGAGTAGTGATTGAAAAGATTAGGCATTGAAGATATGATTCAAGAACAAAATATAATTTAGTGAAGTGTAAACACACACATACAGAAGTTAACAAGAATTCAATGTGTAGAACTATGAAGACTCCTTCTAAGATTACTAATAGTAAACATTTTACATTCAATGATGAATAGAAATTTAGAATCTTGCAAACAAATGACCAACAGTGTTACATTATTAAATCATTTGTTATTTACACAACTTTTCCATCTCGTAGAAAACAACGCTAGTGTACTAGAATTCATACACACATATTATATCCATATTGCTACTGTTGTGTCTGAAGATTCTACTGTTTATACTTGAAAAATGAGAACCGCAGAAATCCCTATTGTTATAACGTGTGAGTGCGTGCGTGCCCTGTTCGATATATGAACGTGCTGATCCCATTAATCAGAGAGGAGCGAATTTATTGATCGCCCAATGATACAGAAAAGCTGTATGAGCAGTCTTGAGTACTTATCGATCCTGCTTTCTGTCTAGCCTAGCCAGTTAAGTCCAGAGCACCAATAATAGCTTCTGCAATATGAATCATTATTTTCAAACATACTGGGTTTAACTCTCCAAATCTTATTGTCATTAAACCGAAATACTCACTTTCATACTGATTTTTACCCAAAATTACCGTATATGGGGAAAAAAATAAATGGTTACTACAAAAGCACACTGAATTTAGTTGACCTGCATTGATACAAGGACTATAAAAAATCATATTGAATGAAAGTTCACATTTGTCACGTTAAGTGAAGTTTTTACGGACTAAATGCAGAATAAAAATATTGACCTGAAATAACATCACACTAAAAAAGATGGTTTACGACTGTCACGCTGAACAAAATCGTTACTGAAGTGATACAAAAAAATATATATTGACCTCCATTATTATCACCTTTTTATTCCATTACATCACAATAAAATAAAGGTTGAATGAGTGAAGTAATTGAAAACACTCTCACATGCATTACACTGTAAGCAAAGATGGATAGTGGCTAGCAGTGGAATCTAGGACGCGCGATTCGTCTCATTTGGGACTCGTCAGCTATCAGGACTCAGTGGCCGAGTGAATAACGCGATGGTGTTTGAAGCGAGTGGTACTGGGTTCGAGTTCCAGAGTGAACATCAACTCTGAGATGCAGGTACATCCAGCTGATGAGTCCCAAATAGAACGAAACGCGCGTTCAACTGGATTCCACTGCAAGCCATTAACCATCTTTGCTTACAATGCTTGTGAATTAAGGCTATATTGAGGCAATACGCACAGTATGTACATATGCCGATTAGAGACTGACCAGTTGCAGTCCTAACACATCGATGGGATGATTTAAACAAACAAATACTAAATGAAATTATCCATTAGACTGTTATAATATACACCTTGTTTGTATGATTAATTTACACTAACATTTGTATTCATACCTTACAGAATAATAAGAAAGTTTCATGTTAGTAATATTGGGTACCATGAACTTAGAAAAAGATATAAAGTGACATTTGGTACACGAAAAAATAAAATCCCATTCATTTGAAACTTAAAGTAATAAAATCAATAGTATCAGATTATCACTATCCTAGTAACTTAGATCAAATTTTAAAAAAGAAGATTCAACTACGAGGAAAAAAAAACAATGGACAAATGAACAAATGAAATAACTTATCTGTTTGTTTGTTTGTTTTTAATATAAATATCCTTTCTATACAAACCAATATATTGATTTCTAATAGTAATGATAATATTCATTATTGAATGAATAGTAGATATTAATTAATAATAATGTAACATACTTTTTATATTGTTTTTCTTCTGGTTGAAAAAATGATGTACCCATACCACGATGACCAATATCTACAGCTGATGCACGTTTTTTCCAATGATGTTGATAAGTAACTTTTAAACTTGGATCAGATGGTTTAATCATTGGATAGATAATAAGATAACGTACTAGAAGGAGAAAAAGAATTTATTTAATGTAATAATATTATTATAGATTCATATTTCAGTTACAGAATCGGCTATTTGGTTTCGACTTATATACTAAATGTTATGCATGACCGTTGCTGCTACCTTGACGTAGTGGTCGGACTTGCCTATTGTGATGAACCAATCGAGTTATACTGGCTGGAACAATCATTACTCAAGATTCTACCATGCCAGACAGGTCGGTTGAAAAGCGGTAAGACTAAAAGCAGTAACTCAAGGTCTGAAGGCGAAGTCGTACTGCTGAATGTAGAGGAGTGTGACAGCAGTAAGGTGTTTCCTTCAGACAACCAGCATAACAGCGATTCCGCCTTCTGACAAGGAGGGGCGGGGCTAGTAAAGGTTGACCCTAAAAATGCACACCTCATCTTATCCCATGGATTTCCGTCTCCGGTGGTAAGGTCCTTTGAAGAACGGAGCTAACACCTCAAATATCCCCCACATAAAGGTCGTACGTGATCGGCCCCAAGCAGTTGTCCATTGAGAACTGCGGTCACGCTCCCAGGTCGTTAAGACCAAGATTAATTCAATTTCTTTTTCAGGTCTCTCAAGAAATACCCTTCCACGGTGTGGACAGCAGGGAAGTGATATTAGCCCTCTTACCCGTAAGTGACTGACTAAATGTTATGACTAGTGATACTAGCTGGTTGAGTAAACTGAAGTAGGCGGAACAAGGTTTGAACCTGTGAACTAGTAGTTGAAAGTTGAATGTTTAAACCATAAAACTACTGGTTCATAGTGAATTATTGACGAACAAAGCTATTAGAACAACAGAAATCACATGTTTAGTTCAAGTTAATTCATCATAATTTTAAAAAATAACGTAAGTGACAAGCGTTGATAAGTTTGCCACACCTTTCTGTATGCAAAGGTCAGGTCGATCACTAAACATTTCATGGATAATGGACAGAACGTGGATGTTTCAAAAGTATTTAAAATAATTAGCAAGTGGTGAACATTACTTTGCTTTGAAGAAGTCACTGTCGTCAGGAGCTTTCGACTTGAACTTTGGATACAGAAAGAAATTAAAGTAAACCTATCATTATGATAAGATAGGTATATTATTCCAAAACTTGTCAGCTACTTTATCTATTTCATTATAACCCCGTTTATATTCGCTAACGATGTTAACTTTAATTTCATATTAAATAGGTCTTAATTATCACTTATTTAGTAACAATTTCTTTTTTGTTTATTATCTCTTAATTATCATTTGCAATTTCACATGTTTCTCGTTTTCTCTTTGATGATGTCATCTTTAAAATATGAAATATTAATCAATCTTATCTATTCAAGTAAATATGTTGTTTCCTCTTGTTTCTTAAGTGGTTTCTGTTATATACCGTGGAGAATTATGAATAGTAACTCTGAGGACTATTTATGGACCAATGTGATATGTGTATTTCCTATTGAATAATTATTAAGTAACCAAATCATTTATATTCATGTTCCTCTTATTATAAGCTTTATTTTGACCTATAGACTATTATTATACGATTTAACGTTCTTGAGTTATTCCAAGTTTATTGATTACTGTCCCCCCCCCTATTCACAGTCCCAATTAGCTTAATCTTGTACAAATGTTGTTTTCTATTTTATGGTACGATGTGGTCTGTCTGATTGGTATATAAACCCAGTATGTTTGAGAATAATGATTCATATTGCAGAGGCTGTTATTGGTATCCTGGACTTAACTGGTTGGGCTATGCAGAAAGCAGGACCGATAAGTACTTGAAGCTTCTTATACGGTTTTTCGTGTATCATTGCTCTGATCGATAAACCAGTCCTCTCTCATTGGCGGGAATCAGCACGTTCATATATATCAACTGGGCAAGAACGCACCCAATCAATATAACAGTTTCAAAGTGAACTTCATTTATTGATGTATGTAAAACTTTTTATAATTATATTACTAAAATAAATTTAGGGTTTTTATGAATGAGGAACCTTGAAATATGGTGAATTCATGTTATTCTCCGAATCTTATTCTTGCCGTTTTATCAATCAAGGAATCAGGATCATGAGTAGTATATTATCATACAGAAAATGTAATTGTATAGTAATAATAATAATTATTATTATTACTATTATTAATAAGCGTTCGCGCTTAAGATTGAAGGTCCTGTGTTCAAATCCCACGTGCAGGGCCATGGACGCGCACTGCTAGGGAGCAGCCCCATACTAGGACGAAACGGCCGTCCAGTGCTTCCAGGTTTTCAATGGTAATCTGATCTCAATCAAAAAAACTTAACAATCTCCACAACCCTCAACCGATAATTATAATGAATAATAAGGTATGTATAAAGAACTAATAACAATTACTATTTCGTAATTTATTGCTCTTATTTATAAGTCTGAATCGGGGTTTTTTTTTGTTTTCCCATCAAAAACTTCCATACTCTATGATTCAATGATATTAGACACAGTTTATATAACTTTTCATTTTATTTTCAAGTTAGTCAGTTAGTTAATGAATAATCAACATAGATTCTAGAGTAAATGTACATCAGTTCAAGTTATTATGCCACATAACCATGTAAAACTAGCAATAATAAGATAAATAGTGGAAAAAAAGCTTGAACAAAAGAGAATAATCAGAGATGGATAGTGGCTAGCAGTGGAATCCAGGAGGCGCGTTTCGTCCTATTTGGGACTCATCAGCTGGATGTACCTGCATCTCAAAGTTGATGTTCACTCTGGGACTCGAACCCAGTACCCTCGCTTCAAACGCCATCGCGTTATCCACATCGTTGGGAAGATTCAAACAAACAATACTAAGTGAATTCAAAAGAGAATAAGATTTTGAAAAGAAAGAATGAATTCCTGGAAATAGGAAGTTTGAAGTAATATTGAAGTTGAAGACATAGGAGAAGATAAAAAGTGAATATATCTGTACTACAGTGAATGATTCAGAGTTAATTTAATCAACGTCTTCAAACAATGATCAGTGTAATGGTTAGGTTTCTGGGTAATCCGGATCTGCCAACAAACCTCAATTCAATAGTTAATGATCTTATGCGTTGGTTCCCTTCCTTAATTTCTTATGTCTTATTCCTTTTGTAGTCTACACAAACATATGGGAAGCTTCACAATTTTCCATTTTATTGGTGAGTTATTGTAAACGTATTCAAACAAGTCAGCTAAATACTGAATCTAAGGTATTTCTAATGTATTCTTTAAGATAAAAGTGGAATGGATAAGATTGAATGAAAACGAGAGGAAGTCGTTTAACGCTGATTATTTAAAGTGTTCAATGGTAGATGTATTCAGTCTCAGACGAGAAATTTTTAAATGTAATATAAACTTTCACAGTGCAACTGAGAGTTTAATTTACTTATGTTGTTATTTCAATGCTACAAGATAGAGACTTTTAATATACACAATAAACTCAAAAGAAAGTCAATAAGCTAAGTTTCTTGTTGTTTCCATAAATCATTATTCAGAAACGAAAACTCGAACATGAAGTAATATTCAATATGGATAAAACCTACACTTCTTTGATTGAGAGTCAAGTGCTTTAACAATGAATTAATAGTTTTGTATTCCCCTTTCCCTAATTCTGTTTAGGCATCCACGCAGACTAATTGGTTCTCATAGAAACAGTAGAATATTTTGTTTTTGATTAAAGAGGTACACAGTATGAATAAGTAGGAGGATGAGATGATTTCCTCAAATAGAAAGTTTCAATCAACTTTTCTTTTAATTTATATTCATTTCTGTTCACATTTCAAAGTATCATCATACATACATATTAAACTCTATCCTTTCAAATTACATATGTCACATTTTTCTCACATTAAGATACAAACAAATACACAATGATGTCCCATATAGATCAACTTGACCAGAGTGAAATGACTTGGTCAAACTTGTTCTTTTTGACTGAATGAACTACTAAGTTTTTGCTTTGTTCCATTGCACTATTTAAACTTGAGTTAATTTAATTAGATCAGAAGGGGTTTTGTGGAGAGTTTAGTATTTTCATAGTTGAAATCATGAGTCATTTGAAGCCATACCACCATGGAAAACCTGGAAGCACTAGACTGCCGTTTCGTCCTATTATGGGACTCCTCAGCAGTGCGCATCCACCATACTGCACTCGCGAGATTCGAACCCAGGACCTACCAGTTTCGCGCCAGAGCATTTAACCGATAGACCACTGAGCCGGCATCCAACGGTGTTAATGTCTAACTTCAACTAATCCAATTTAATTAGTTTATTTATTCTTTTGAGAAGTAGCCTACACTAAGTCACAAAATGTTAGAAAATTTAATTTTTCTATTCGAGATTTTACAAATATGTTATTTTATTATTAAAACACTAGTTACTAATTATTTATTTATTTATTTGAACACATAAATATTGGTACAAAGGGGCACCGAATACATATTCACTACATAAGTCACTTGATTTGCGTGTGAGCTGTGATACTGACTGGGTTCTCAGACCGGAGCAGGTGGTTTCCTTAAGGAGCCACACCCGGAGCCTTAGACATAATGGTCTGATACACAGGACAGTGAAGCAACGTCAACAGATGCAGTATCATGGCAGCAAGTGACCAATAATTGGTTCATATGCCATTTGTTCCCTAAGGATCCTGGAACCCATGTGCACCGTTGATTTGGAATCTGGGTTTTCCAACTTCCCTAGGTGTATCCTCTATATCCACAAACCCAGTTAAAGCGTCCGACAATCACTTTTCGTCTTATCAATTCCTTAAACAACAGGCGCATCGTGAGGACTTTCCTGCCAGTGGTTGTATAAGCATGGCCATGTGAAAGCATTCGGAGAGAGAGAGCCGACTCTCGAACGTACCAGGGCATTTCGGGGCCTAGTTATTCCTTGGATAATATTTTATGAACATGACATAAATCATCTTTGAAATCTCTGTTAAATTTGATGATAAGAAACATGAATGTGTGAAACATAAATGAAGCCAATATTGAATGTAATTCATGACAATATTTAATATGGTGGATCAATGCATTTTATGGTGTTGTTATTTATATCTACAGAAAATATCAAACTTGTAAATGTACTTCTTAACTATTACAAACAGATGACAGAGCTAATTGAATATATTTACCGCTTAGTTGTCTTTAAAATTGATTTAGATATATTTATTTTTAATTAGTGTCAGGACAGAGTGGGTTGGAGAATGCTGGTCGGCGGCTTATGCTCCATTAGGAGTAAAAGGCGTAAGTAAGTAAGTAAGTAATCATTAATGATCCAATATTACGATCACAAACAAATTAAATTGAATTGTTAGACTGTAAATATAGTCAGAGAAAAGTTATTTGAACATTAAACATGCATTTAGAACGTTCTAAATGTGAAATGAAAGTTAATCAATCATATGTCAAGTAGAACCTGATAAATGTGCATAAGTTCAAATTGTCATCAGCATAAATAGCATAGAGAGATAAAATTATCAAGACAAATCCTAGAGTAGTAGAAATTTCTCTCTAGTGTTTTAATTGACAACAAAAAGAGGATGGGAGTTAGGGTATGTTCGATGTGTTTGTTCATTTTTCGTTGGTCCATCAATCAAATCTGGACATTGATACAAACAAATACATTCAGCTGACAGAACACATAACTAGTACTGTTTATAAAGTTATATGTATTTTTCCAATGATCTGTCTAGAACTAAAAGTAAATAATAATAGAAATACTGTCGATTCTTGTAAGAAAGATACGAAGTTTGTATACTGTTACTTATAAAGGATTATTCACAAATTTCGAAATAATCAAGTGAAAAATGTTAGGAGTGAAGGCATGTGGAGCAGATGAACTGGCTACTTTAAATCCTTTCTTTGTTTTGATGTAAGGGGAACATCATATGCACTATTTACACAACAAAACATAAATACTCAAGAGGTTCTGATAAAAATGTAACAATAATGAGTAACTCGTTAGACTGATAAGATGTATATTGGGCCGTAATAAATGGGTTGGAAAAAATTCAGCAACTGGTTGTAATAAATCTCATGGTTAAAAGTAATATGTATTCATTATAGATTAATTACTAGTTAATCGATATATTATGATACATAATTGTTTGGTAGACGGATCAGTCGATTATCCGTTTTCCACCAAGTCTTATGAATAATATAATATAGTTGAGTCAATTGAAGCTAAACTACCATGGAAAACCTGGAAGCACTGAACGGCCGTTTTGTCCCATTGTTAGACTCCTGAGCAGTGCGCATCCACGATCCCGCCTCGCGAGATTTGAACCCAGGACCTAACAGTCTCGCACCAGAGTACTTAACCGATAGATCACTGAGCTAGCCGGCATCCAACGGTGTTAATGTCTAATTTCAATCAATCCACGAAATTGAGCAACCATTCACCGATGTCTTCAGTGGGTTGATATCTCCCAACAGACCTGGTTGAACTCCACTGGTTACTGCTTCTCGCTAGAACTCTAGGAAATACCTCATGAAGCCAGTCACTAGTGAGCATATGATTATTATCAGAAGGAGTTTTGTGGAGATTTTAGTAATTTTATATAGTTGAGATCATGAGTCAATTGAAGCTAGACCACCATGAATATACTTACAAAAATATAATTCAGAAATGAGTAGATTCTAAAATATTTTCGTAGACTACGTCGGAAGTGGAAGTTATCATCGATTTTATTTGCTGATAATTAGTATCTATCAAAAAAATTAGTATATTTTCAAATGCTGATTCCAACTTCGTTGTTCAACAGTAAAACTATTCTTACAAAACCTTAATGTCCTAGGTTCGACTGCCGTAATAGTGTTAAACATACACTCCTGAGAAGTCATGAAATAAGATTAAACAGCTATCCATTACTATCTGATCCTCAATATTTCACCACCTTATATTGTCAGTGAGTGATGGAAACTAAAACTGAAAATTGAGAAAAAACGACACAATTTTATTTACCTCGAAGATCTCCCACTGGAGATAATGATGAATTAAGAATTTGTGCAGCTTTGCGTCCGTATGTATCAACGAATGGACCAAAACGAGCAGAGCCAATAAATTTCAATGGAGTAGGTGAACTAATTTTAGCTGAATATAATAAGAGAAAATTATCAATGAAAGTTGTGATTCGAATAAGAAAAACGCGATAAGTAAATGAGAAAAAATGATCATTTTTTTTAAAATAAACTTGTTTACGTCCCAAAACACTGCAAATTCTCATAGTACAAATTTAAACTACACATATAAGTGAACAATATTACTTTCCAAGATGGTGGAAATTCGTTGCTCAGGTGCCCCCAAATGCCCTGGTACGGTCGAGAGTGGGAAGAGTCTGCTCTACCTCCCCAAATGCTCTCACATGACAACGCATATATATAGACTCTGTCAGGGAAGTCCTACTCACTGCCTTCTAGTGGCAGTACTGTTGTTTACGAAATTGAGAGGACGAAAAGTGAATGTCCGACGCTTTAATCGAGTTGGTGGACACGGAAAGTCCATCTAGGGGAGTTGGAAAACCCTGATTACAAACCAATGGTGCACATGGGCTCCAGTATCCTAAAGGAAAAAATGACATATGAACCAATCGTTGGTCACCGGCTACCATGGGACTGCATCTCCTCACGATGCTCCACTGCCTTGTGGATTAGACTTTCAGGTCAAAGGCTCCGGGTGTGGCCCCCTAAGAAAACCACCTGCTTCAGTCTGGGCACCTGGGCAGTATCACAGCCCTCATACAAACCAAATGAGATTTGTGTGGTGCACATTTATCTGGTGGTTCCTTGTACCAATATTTATGTAGTTAAATAAATAAATCAAAATCTAGCTCAGGTGGATGATTTTGGTTGAGTTTTGTTCTCTGAGCTGGATCGTTTGGAGAAAACCATTAGATCTTTATAAGAATTTAACTTAATATGGGTCAATCATAACAGTGAAACAGATTACGTTACTGACCGTAGTCAGTTAAAGGTACATATCGATATTAAGATAGGTGATAGCTGTAGCAGTAGTGATAATTAGTAGTAACTGCTTGAATAAATATTGCAAAATACAAAACAAGTGAAAACTCGGATTAAATTTTATTTGGTTATTTATTTTCTGAGGAAGTGGCTTACACCGAGTCACGAAACGTCAAAAATTTAATTTTTCTACACATTGGGATATTACAAATATACTTATTTATTTAATGGGTGAATAAGGTTGGTAAAACAGTAATCAGAATGGGGGTCTGTGGAGATTATAGTAATTTTAATGATTGAACTTATAGCTTTGTGGTCTAGAGGTTGAGCGTTCGCGAGTGGGACCGAAGGTTCTGGGTTCGAGTCACGCATGCGGGATCGTGAGTGCATATTGCTGGGGAATCCCAAATTAAAACGAAACGGCCATCCGGTGCTTCCAGGTTTTAAATGGTGATCTAGCTTTGATAGACTCGTGAATTCATCTAGTAAAAACTAGTAAAACATAATAAGAAATGTATGAATAATCCATTTATGTATGCAGATTGAAAAGGAAATAGGAAACAAAAGGAAGTAATTTATTTGCAAGAATTTATTTGAATCTTCCATTTTTGATGTTAAGGACTGTAATTGATCAGTTCCTTTTGCCATAAGTGAATCTAGCATAGACAGCCTAAATGTTGACATTGAATCACAGGCACTTTGAACAGAATTGGATTGTGGAGAGCATTGGAATTCAGGATGCGCGGATCGTCTTATTTGGGATTCGTCAGTTGAGTGTACTTGCTTCCCAGCGTTGATGTTCATATCGAGGCTCAAAACCAGTACCTTTTGGTTCAAACATCCAACTCGTTATTTACTTAAGTAATGAGTTCAGAGAGCGGTTCGCCAATTCGCTAATTTTTCAGACAGTACAGTCAATATACCACTACCTATAAGAGCGTTTGGACGAGCAAATACTTTTAACTTATCATAGTTAGGTGTTATGTAATCGTCTATTATTGCTATCACTGACACAGGGATTTCCCGGATTCACCTTCATCTTGAAATAATTCCAAAAAATGTATGCATTTAGCGTGAAACTTTAGTCAGCTCTAAGGAAATACTTCCACGGGTGACTTGGATATAGTTTTTGAATGAGAATCATTGTAATTGATACACATTATATTGGAGAACACTCCCATCGATTGTAACTAAGTAATTTAAATATTTCGTCCGGAAGTTCAATCTCCAGAAAGTTGGAATCAGAATGTCAAGTAAAACATTGGAATAAGTACATTTTGATCAGTGAAATTTTTCCATATATGATATGTATGTAGTGTCTTTTATACAAAGTCATTATTTTAGCAAACTGAATAAATAATTGTTTTAAGGAAAGATCATTATGAATGGAATTTGTTCAGTGTATATAACAATTTCCTATTATTGTTAGATGTCTAGATATAATCGTGAGGAAGAGTATGATTCATGCCTAATAATTGTTTTAATAATAATAAGCAAGAAGCAAAAATGGTCGTTAGAGGACTTCTTATCTTTATTATATTTGAACCTTTGACGATTACTAATAATTAGTAAAAATCACGGCGTTGTAAATGTTTCCTATGAAGGCACAATAGGCTACTCCACGATATTTTCAAGAAAAACTACATACTTAAAAAACTTCAGCAAGTTATCAGAATACAGATAAGCTATATTGACGGGAGAACCGAATAGCATAGAAAATACATTTTATGTCATTTGATAATTCTTACATTGTTATTCCAAAATGTAAATCCCTCTTTTGTTATTCCATATTAATTTGCACAACCTTACGTAGAACAGTGGGATTTCTGTAAAGCATCTGCCATTACTAAAGTTTTATAAAGGGTAACCTCTTGATTTCACTAACAATAAAAAATTAAAAAACCAGCCGATTAAGAAAGATTTCTTCAGAGATTTTGTACTATACCGCTCATTTGTTCGGATTTAACAACTACAGACAAGAGAAATCCAAACTTTTGATTGATTACGATTCTTTAAAGATTTTCTTTCATTGTATTATACAGAAATTAGAAAAACGGAGCTCTTAAATGTTAATCAGAATGTTTTAAAATCAAACACAATTGCATATGAAGTGCTCTTGAGTTTATTTATCTATCCACATTCATGATCGCACCGTGTAACTGTTCAAATAGCTCATACAAACGTGTAGGACATTGGAAAAAGTTTCCTACACAATCGACACTAATGTTCAAGGTGTGCTGTAGAACAACTTTGAAAAAACTCACCGATTTCGGAATCTTTTGAAATTTGTCTTGAATAGCATTATTAGAGTGAGTTTTAATTATCAAACTGTTTATTTTCCTTACTTAAAGATAGAAATGTCGCACTTGATGAAAAAGTGACTATGTGGACTCAGTAGCTAAGTAAATAATGTGTTAGGTGTCTGAGCCTACAGACACTGGTTTCGAGTCCCGATTTGAACATCAACACTGGGAGGCAAGTCCGTCCAGCTGGTGAATCCTAAATAGGACGAACCGCGCGTGACGGGTTCCATTACTAGGCACTATTCATTTATTAACTCGAATAGATAAAATAGTACTGAAAAATGGGGCCACATAAACATTAGTCGATAACATTGTTACTTGGTAATCCAAGTACATAACCTTAAGTTAGTAATTTATAGTTATCTATCTATTTTAATCTGGAAGTTCGGATAGTAAGTTTGAGACAATAACTGGTACAATATAACAGCTGCATTAAATTATTTGAAATATACTAAAACCTTTATGAAAAAAAGTGACCAGGTTCCTGTAGAACCACTAAATCCTATTCTAACGTATATTGTTACAAAGTAGTTGTTTACAGTGTCCTATTCACTTTATATGCTATTAGAAAAGTTGAAATTCCTAAAATAAAATGACAGAGACGTAAAAAAAACATCACCCTGACTTATTAAACCATACTCAAATTTATGTACTGAATTCGTAAAGACACTTTTAGTATTTGTAAACTTTTAAATTTATCGAGCTATTAGGATGCTCTAAAGTTTAGAAAACGACATGCAGATGATCTTATATAAATGAAATTCAAATCTTGAAACTGTCGAAACAAATCTCAGTGATCAATGGTGTTCGATCATATGTTCGTTTCAATCGATTATGATCATATCAGCGATGGATATTTTAAGGTTTGGGTTTTATGTTGAAATTAAGTACTAAGATTTCTACGTGAAACAATATAAAATTCAATCGGAAAAATTGATTTCAGAATAAAAATAATAATAGAAATTCACTTGATCTGGTATCCGTTTTTAAAAGTAACCTACGCTGAAGAGGTTTAAACGATATCGAGAGTAGAACACCCATCACACCAGTGACACTCAGTAAAATCAAGCAATAACAGTAAAATAGAAAACATGAAATGGTTTTGATAGAAATGGGTAGCAGGTCTGACAAAACTAGGCTCGATACCTTCTAGGGTTGTTTGGAGGCTTTAGTGTGAAAAGTTTTGGAGGCCAACATTCAGACAATTATGATCGAATACTAGGGAAATATTGTTTCTGAACATCCTTAAAATCAAAATTATAAGACACCACTTCTTAAATCACTAATACAATAAGATAACTGTCAAAAAAAAACAGCAAACAACTTTTCTACCTGTGTAGAAAACATTTACCTTCATTGAAACTATAACATATCTAATGATTAATGCAGCTTCCATCTCTTATAGAAATATATTTCCAGCAGATAAATATGAAGAAAAATACTGCTTGATATACAATACTTAAAACCATCGATCTGATATCTGATTATTACATTTCGATTAGAACAAAACAAAGCAGCACCAAAATAGTCATCGCATCAAATCTCAGTTAAATAATAACGAAAACTCACTATCATTCCCTGAGGACTCTAAATGTTGTTGATAGAATTGTATTTCTACTGAAGTGTTCTCCACATCTGACGTTTCGATGAAGAAAGTGACATCATCTCCAAGTTTATAAAGTGTACCACAACATTCTGGTTGTTCACCTCTATGAATACGGCAGCGATTGATTTCCAAAGTGGACATTGGAACTGGATAGGATCGACTAACAACACTAGAGTAGGATGTTCTACTTGAAAAAGGGTACTGTGGACATGAAAGTTTAGGAGTTGAAGAACCAATAAGACAGGTTAAAGTATCTTCCTTTTGTAAGCATTCAGGCTTATTCGGAGTTACACCTGTTGTGGGTGAAATGAAATACAAGGAGTTTAGAATAATGGGTATATGAAGATAAGATTGGGTTCACACCCTTTTTGAATTGATAAATTATGAAATACTTTTTTACTTGATATTAAACTAGAATAAGATTATATTTTACATAAGATCTAGGAGAAACTGACATCGTCTCACACATTTCTAAAAAAGATACATAAGCAGCTATAAAATAAAGCTTCTGTTTTAAATGTTATCCAACACTTAGAAATCCCTACACGCTGCAGAGATTGTGACGTTAATACAATGAGCCGATGAGATAACGATAAATCCAACTGTAAAACCAGTATCAAGGGTACGTCTATTTGAGTTTTTATAGGGAGTAGTGGAAACAAAATCACCATGAGATATTTCAAAATTAAGTTTAGAACGCTGATATGTTTAAGTGGGAGGGAAGGATTATAGGTAATGGGAAAATGGTTTTATCCTGTTTAATTTGATGAAACAGTAGATATAAAGCAATAATTAAGCGATTGAACAAAGTTCTTAGGCAATGAAATAGGAATTAGTATTGCGAGCTTCCTATTAAAAACAACATACAATGCAAGAAGCGATGGAAGAACACCTTGCCATTAGATTGAAAACGTAATGCGAGTTCTTCCTGGAAAGGTATTCATTTTTTAATCAATTTTATTTTGCATTCTTATCAAAAGATTTTTCCTAAACACTAATCTAAATCAATCCGGTTTTTAATACTTTTGTCACAAACGGCATTGTCATCTTTGGGACATTGTAAAGTATTCGCATATTTTTGACGTTTTCTACGTTTGTTAAACTTGTAGCTTAACTTTTATGATTTTCTAGAATTTTAATCAACTGTTTGAAACTTCGTTATATAAAGGGCAATTTCGTTAACCAGTATGAGCCACACTGATAACAAATCAAAATAAGGAAAGAGATGGGAGCTAGCGTCAGAGGAAAGTTAAAGGGTAGATACCATTAACCTTTTATTTCAGAATAAATTTAACCTCAAGAGATACGAACTTGAAAGGAGTTTTTTCTAGCCAGGGATAACGAATATGACAGTGGTTAGACGAGTGGAAAGCGAACTATATGTGAAATTACTGCAGTCAAGTTGGGGAAGTCACAATACTCATAAAACACATGGATACGAATTAGAACATCTCACAGTAATTATTTGAATAAAAAACTGAAAAAAGAAACAATTAACAATAGGATATACGGTTACGTTATCTAGTGACCACACAGATTCTAAAGCGATACGAACAATCGAACATATCTCATTTTCTTCACTCGGGTGATGATAAATGACCTCAGGAATCAAGATCGGGAATAATTAAAGTGGTATTCCCTTATTTATAGTCGATGCTTTAAGAGCAGAACATCTTCATCAAAAAAGGCTTGTGTCAGCTCCATCGACAAATGTTTTCAACGAAAATCAGAACACTAAAACTGCTCACGAAAGTTAACAAGACTTATGTTAGCCTACATAATTAAAACCTAACGGGATAATTTAAAAGCTTACGCGTTTCATTATCTTCATCATCGATAGGCATTGGTTGCAATACATATCTAGAGCATGCAACAAATAACTGAGTATGAGGAGTGAAAACGTTGTTTTTGAAGAATTTGCAAGAAGTGCTCGACATCCGAATATGAATCTCTGAGTTTGACGTCAACCAACCGCGCTGAACGAAATTTCCATTTTCTTTGAGGAATAACTGATAGTTTTGAAAAACTTACCGAAAACACCGAATTCCATATGAATCTCTGTATCTTTGTCTGTATTTAAATGATCTAAATCTGAGACTAGATGGAGATTGTTACCTGTCGGGTTAAATTCCCTAGGCTTTAATCGGGACTCCCATGCTAAAATCTTCAGGTTTTGTGAGACGGCATTTTCGTCAATTTTCTCAATTAATTCTGCCAAGAAGAAACGGTATTGGAACTCAGACAGTGATTGAAGTGAGAGACAACAGTGCCATGTTTCAGTACTAAAACAGACACGTTGTATATGATTTATATAAATACTTATTAGTTTTTTCAGACTGACGCTCGCAAAACAAAGCTTTTTCAGGATTCCATAGTCCGAGGATATCCAACGATCCCGTGACTCCAACCACCATCTTACGTTTATATTCAACTATAGAAGTTTCAACATAAATTCCAACATCTTCTAAGGATTTAAAGTTAATATCCACTGAAAAAGACACAGTAGGGTGACTTTTTACACAGGCCATCCCGACTAGCGCAAAATGTTTTAAATTTGACAGGAAAATATAACCTTTTAAAGGATGCCTAGAGGTTACTGATAAACAAGTGAAATCTCTACTCATTTGACAAAGAACCAAAGAATCATCTCAGTTCGTTATATAATTCAAATGGTTCAAATTGTATTAGACAGAATGGAAGAACCATTTGCTTAACGGGCTTCTATATCTATCACCAATGCCTCCAGGTTTGAGCATAAGTCTATTTAACGGTAAAAAGAAACCCGCTTGTAAACTATTGTGAAGTGCTATCCTGGCTATCTGAAAATACGTCAAGTTTCCTTCTGAAGGACTCTTGAAGAGTTTCTTGGACCACTTCAATCGGCAGCGATTTCCAGAATTTGACTACTCATCATGAGTAGATGTACCTACGGTTCATTCTACTTTGGTTTGTTTCTAATTTCTGACTGTTATCCTTAAAGTTTGTGTTTGGACTGAGCTGATCTAGATGCTCGTGGGGATGCCTAGGAGAGCTTATGATGCTATGTCACTATGTCAGCTCTGAGAAGCTCATTATCTAGTGGGTAAAGACTCGCTGATTTGTGGCGCTCTATATGAAGTGTGAATGTGAGTCCCCGAATATATTTAATGCCTCGCCCTTGGACACGTTCTAATGTGTTCCTATCCTTTCGGAGTGAGGGGGGAAACTTCATGTTTTCATACTCTAAGTGGGATGGAATAAAACCGCTGAACATTAAGTGGTACGTCCTTCAGTCACATTGGTCAACAGTCGTCCTCAACGTTCCTAGTGCAGGGTCCACTCGAAAAGCACTTTCGTCACGGTTATTGTGAGCGCCTAGATCATATGCTCTCAACACTCCTAGATCTTTTATGACTTGAGATACCTCTAAGGAAGAGTTACCTAGATTGTATTCGTAGTATACGACCAATCTATGATGGACCACTTTACAGTTTGAAGTGTTGAAAGCAAGTCTATTGTTATTCATTCAACTTTTAAGTTAGGTCAGATCATCCGGAAGTTTAAGCTCAAAATCTTGGTGACAAAATTTTCTCTAAAGTTCAACGTCGACAGCGAAAAGTAATAACTCAGATGATGCTTGCTGAGGAAGGTTATTTATGCTGTTGTGTCCGGACGCGACTACAATTCTATATTGGTGAGACCGACAGAAGCAACTCAGCCTGTTAATAATTCTCATATTTACTTCATATTTACTTATGTTATCCCATTATCCTATTAGTCTACTAATTAGCGCCCACATTTATTGTATTGTAGTGTTGATTATTATTCACAGCTTGTTAGCTCCATTGATAATAATAAATGGTAATCTGCACTTATGATAAGCTATGATGGTTTACTACCAAACCTTTGTGGCACTTAAATGATGAGGGTGAAATAGATTTGTTAAAACATTAACCACCAAACAAATGTGGTGCATAATCAACGTAAATGCACACTAGCTGGCATTCTGAGCAAGGACTGCATGGTTATACGCATCTATTTCTTCATCTTGTTTGTTCACCTATTGAGCCGTTAAATGAAAGTAAGAAGAAGGAAATTTCTTTGTCAATGAAAGTGTCTACTTAAGCAGTAATCTTTTATAATTGTGGATTATTTGGACCAAACTCAGCCGAACACGCAATAGCCTGAAGACTTAAGTAACGTCCCTTATTTTGTTATTTGTGTGTAATTAACTTATTAACTGTTAATTGTTACATAAATTATAGACATAATATTTTTGTTGCTAATTTTTGGTTATCATACATTTTGGTCCCCCACACTAGTATGTAGCTGTAAATAATTCCCCAAAATCAATAGCTCATTAAGTGTTCGACATTGGATGTTAACCACGTTGTTTAAGTGGATTTGTTTAGCTGAAGGCTTTCGGTCATGCATCCGTACCAGATCACGTTGCAACACGGCGTGGGACACAGCTCCTACGTTACAATAGCCAATTAAGAACGGAGTCTCTCGATATCAGTCTTCAGACTTCAGTAATAAGGATAGGAGGTCTAGTGACCTATTTTAATCCTTGCAGTTTGTTACACTGTGGAGGTCCAATCTCGTCTTGAATATATCAACAGAAGGTGCTGATATTACGTGTTCTGGTAGAGAATTCTAGTAATTCACTACTCGGTGCGAGAAACGAAACTCCAGACGTAGACGATTTGATCTCGGTTTTTGGACTTTCTTTGCATTTCCTCTCAAATGCTCAGCCCTAAACGGGATGAAAAGATAGGACATGTTAGTACCAAGGTTATCGTTCAGGATACGATATGCCAATATTAGATCACCCCGTATTCGCCGGTAAGATAACGGAAATAAGTTGAGGTGTCTCAGTCTGTCTTCATAAGATAGACTAGATAAGCCTTTTACCATTTTTGTCCCGCGGCGTTGAACTCGTTCCAACATATCCGCCTCATATTTGAAACAAGAACTCGCTGTTTGAATCCCATATTCCAAATGTGGCCGTACGAAAGTTGGGTATAATAATCTAAACATTTCCCCATCCAGATACCGGAAAGATCTACGAATAGACCATAATGCCCTATAGCCTTTTGCAGCAGCAGCCTTACAGTGACTGGTTGTTTTGATATCATTACTTAGTATGACTCTTAAATCTTTATAGTTTCTTACTTTGGGCAACACTAGTCCACATATTGTATAGTGATACGAATCGTCATAGTTATTTAATTGCATCACAACACTTTTATTAGGGTTTACTTCTAGTGACCACCCATTCATCCATGCAACTAGTGAGTTAAGATCTTGGTGTATTGATATATTGGTAACGAATCAAAAATATCTTTCCTGTCTCTCCTCGTCTGACTTCTGGTTTCTATTTGACTGGGAACGAACAATTATAGAAGATACTACTGGTTGCTAGTTGCAAAACTAGAATATCCCTTGTATCATCATTGGTGAGCCTAACGTGATCTGCTACAGCAAGCCAATATACTGTGAGTCTGTTCCATTTGGGAATATTATTATTCATTGTTATTCTTTATTTGAATTTTATATATTGTGATATACTGTTTTTTCGCGAACTTTTTTTCCCGGATATATTTTAATTAGACATTTTTCGTTATCTATATTACTATGACGGAACACTCACCCAAGGTTTTTAGGTTAAAGTCTATTCCCCCTATTTCGATTCAGTTAACCCCATTTTGGCTCGACAATATCGAGTCCTAGTTCTGCTATGCAGAAGCCGATTTTTGCATGCAAGGGATCACGGATTCGCGCACACGTTTCCTCGCGGTTCAAATGGTTCAAATGGTTGAGGACGGAATAGAAGAAGCTTTCGCTTAACGGGCTTCTGTGTCTGGTAGCAGTGGATCACCAATACCTCCAGGTAAGAACCTAGGTATATGAACGATAATAGAGGAAAAAAAGTTTGGTAAATCATAATAATATGTTATCCTTAGTCCTTAAGAATAAGTCAAGTTTTCTCTTAAAGGACTCCTGGGAGGTCGCTTGGACTAGCTCAGTCGGCAGCGAATTCCAGCACTTGACAACTCTAACGGAGTAGAAGTTGTGTCTGCAGTCTGTTCTGCTATGTAGGGTCACCAATTTCTGGGTGTTACCTCTGAGGTTAGTGTTATGACTAAGCTTAAGAAGTTGCTTAAGGGGATGACCAGAAGTATTAAGGATACTATAAGTCATAAGAAGATCACCTCTAAGACGCCTACACTCTAACGGGTAAAGGTTAAGTGATTTGAGGCGCTCTTCATAAGGTTTGAATTTGAGACCCCGAACTGATTTCGTGGCTCGACGTTGTATACGTTCCAGAGTGACCTTATCCTTTTGGAGGGGGGGGAGGAAATACTATGTTTCCGTACTCTAAATGGGGACGAATAAAACTGTTGAAGATTATATGGAAGGTTCTACCGTCAAACTGGCCGAAAATGCGCTTCAATGTTACCAGTGCAAGGTTAGCTTGAGAGGCGTTTTTGTCACAGTTCACATACGATTTCAGGTCGTAGGGTACCAACACTCCTAAATCTTTTTCAACTTGGGAAACTTCTAGAGGTGAGTTACCTAAGTTGTAACTATAGTCTGCAACTGTGACAATGACGTTCGATTAATATGAGTAATCTAGCGTCCTTATTGGTCCTTATCCGCCTAACCCGTCCACTTGAGTCCAAAACACCAATAGCGGCTGCTGTAATGCGAATCGTTTATTTCAAACATACTTTATCTATATTCCAGACAGGTAGACCACACCATACCATAAAATAGAAAATAATATTTGTACAAAACCAGGTTAAATGAGGCTGTAAGCGTGGGAGACAATAATCAATAAAACTGAGAATAACATAGGGACAGTAAATCACATAGTAATAATCAATAGGTCAAAATAAAGCTTAGATAATCTAGTTACCGAATAGTCATACAATAAGAATGTTAGTCCAATAGTAGGTCCTGCAAGTTACCCGTACTTATGTCTTCGTTACTATATAACACTACTCATACATCCCAGCCATCGGTAAACCTTGTTTGAATGCTTGAAACCACAGGTCAGTTTATAGTGCAGTTTCTTCTGATTTTCAGTTAACTCATATATTTATCAAGCAACCATATGTACGAAAGTGCAGCTCAAGTAAATGATTTTGGTTTATGCTTCAGAACTTTGATAGTGTCTTCTTAGTTCCCCCGAGACCTCGAATTATTAGAACATCACGTAAAAATATGTATGGATCCGGTTGAAAAATATTCAATGTTGTCACATCAGCTACGTTTATCGTAAGTTGGAACAATGATCCTGTTAACCCTCATGTTGTTAGTGAAATCGGTATATCATTACGTAAATTTTATTAAAAAATTAGATTGTGTTGTGGATTTCGCTGTGAATATTCTTTATTCATGGTGTCAGACTGTATTATACCTGACACGTGCACTACATGCTGGAGTGATATCCAATATGTAGAGGTCTATTAATAATCGTACTTTTTTTGAAGTAGACCATCGATGAATATGTTAGTAAATCGCAGTTTTATAAATTGTTACTTGCTTAAGAACACTTAGTTTATTTATTAACATACATATGTACATATGTATATGCACTTAATATAGTCTGAAAATCACTTCAACTATTAATAAATTAGTTGTTTTATCCTTTAATTTTATAATAATACCAGGAACTAGCTCTTGATTGTCAAAGTGATGTTGTAAATGGGTATCTGGTGTAAATGCCCATTTGATATTC